GAGGTGGTTGAGTCACCGTCCCTGGAGGTGTTTAAGAGACGGGTGGATGTTGCGTTGGGGAGAGTCGTTTAGTAGGTTGATAGGGCTGGGGACAAGGACTGGACTCAATGATCTTCTAGGTCTCCTATTCTATGATTCTATGATACTGTGTAGGTGAGCTGTCCTTATGCAGGTTTCATAGCCCAAGAAAATTAGAGCAGTTTGTGTCAGCTCATCCTCTTACTGATTTTTATAGTCATCAGCTGTATACAGTGCAGAGAGACCTGGCATCTGCCTCCCCAAGAGCAGTCTCACACCAAGCACAAAGTATCAAAGGACGGCAGGAGGATGGGAGGACAGTGCTGTGGAGATGTGGCCAGTGTTGGATGCTAACCACTCTGACCTTCTGCAGGGGGGATGTGAACAAGCAGAGAAACCTCATGCAGAGAGATATGAAGAAAACATTGTTACGTATGTGAGACTACACATTTCTAGCACAGCAGGCTGTGCAGCACTGTTGGCTGTCAGCAAAATGCAGAAAGTTTGTAGGTGGGGTTTCTCTCAGAATGAAAAGTCCTACAAAAAGAAAACAAACTGTCCTAAAGTCTGACCACTGTCACTGTCTTAAACTGAGTGAGTGGGAAACAGTCCAAGGCCAGGACTTGTGAGCTTTTTTGAAGAACCTGCTATTTAAGCTGATCCAGACAAGTGTATGATCTTGTTCCATGGTACCCAGCAGATGTAAGAGCATGAGAATGAGCCTGAAGCTGAAAGTCTGAGCTGAGGGTTTTCACTGGGGCAAAGGAGGATGTCACAGAAGGTCCATTCTCAGTATTCAGTTCTGTGTGGGCTGGAGATGATTAATGGTTCTTTTTGTGTGAACAGCTGCCAACGTGTTACTTTCGGAACAAGGAGATGTGAAACTGGCTGATTTTGGAGTGGCTGGACAGTTGACAGACACGCAAATCAAGAGGAACACCTTTGTTGGGACTCCATTCTGGATGGCACCTGAGGTCATCAAACAGTCTGCTTATGACTTCAAGGTGAGCTGGAAACAGGAGGATTGCTACTTTCTGCTACTGTTTATGAGATGGTACTAAGGTTAATAGAGGGATTGTAAGTGTTGCTTATTGCAGGAATGGTGCTTTCCTGTTATGGTTCAGGATCTGTTGGAGAAGTTTGTCTACCGAACATGAAACACCCTATCTTATTTTATCTGATCAGTCCTGTGTGTTGTGATTTGAGCTGGCTGCCTGGGCTGACAACAAAGGACCGTGCGGCCACTCACTCACTCCTCTCCCCACCCCTGTCCCTACAGGCATGAGGAGGGAGAAAATTCAGCTAAAAGGCTCGAGGATTGAGATTAGGACAGGGAGCGTTCATTTCACCACTTATACATGGGCAAAAATCAGAGCAGACTTGGGGGGAACACATACATTTAATTTACCACCACCATTCAATGACTAAATCAGAGTAGGATAGTGAGAGGAATATGTAAATAAATACAACTCTTTAAATACACTCCGTCCCTCCATCCCCTACCCCCCTTTCTTCCCAGCTACCTCCTCCCACCCCGTCAAAGTGAAGGGGCAGGGAGTGGGGGGTGCAGTCCGTCTGGCCATTATTCAATGTCCATGGTGATCCTTCCTTCTTGGGAAAGAGAACTCCTCGCAGTCTTCCCCTGCTGCCACGTGGTGTCCATCTCATGGGAGGCAACCCTCTCCCTGCATGTGAGTTTGTCCCGCCAGTGTGGAACTGGCCTTGGGGTTGTGGGTTGCTTCGAGCACATCACGGAATTGTTGGGAGTTGGAAGGGACCTCTAGAGACCGTCTAGTCCAACTTCCCTGCTAAAGCAGGACTGCCTAGAGCACATCACACAGGATTGCATCCAGGTGGGTTTTGAAAATCTCCAGAGAGGGGGACTCCACGACCTCTTTGGGCAGCCTGTGCCAGTGCTCTCTCACCCTCACAGTAAAGAAAATGAAACTTTAAATGAAACTTCCTGTGTTCCCACTTTTGCCCGTTGTCTCTTGTCCTATTATTGGGCATCCTCCCTGCACCCACCCTTAGATATTTATAGACATAGATAAGGTCTCCTCTCAGCCTTCTCTTCTCCAGGCTAAATATTCCCAGCTCTCAACCTTTCCTCAGAAGAGATGCTCCAGTCTCCCAATCATCTTTGTTGCCCTCTGCTGGACTCTCTCCAGTAGTTCCCTGTCTTTCTTGAACTGGGGAGCCCAGAACTGGACATAGTATTCTAGTTGTGGCCTCACCAGGGCAGAATAGAGGGGAAAGGATCACTTCCCTTGACAATGTTCTTCTTAATGCACCCAAATATACCATTGGCCTTCTTGGCAATGAGGGCACATTGCTGGCTCATAGTTAACTTACTGTCTACTAGGATTCCAAGATCCTTTTCTGTAGGGCTGCTTTCTGGAACGTCTACCCCTAACCTATATTGGTGTATGGGGTTGCTGCTCCCCAGGTGCAGGACCCTGCATTTGCCTTCTCCGCTCTTGTGCGGTCTCTCTTCCCTCTGGCATGGGGTTCTCCATGTACTGCCACGTCCCGGATCTTCTAGCCACTGTCAGTCCCTTCAGCTTACAGGCAGTCATCTTCCTGCCATCTCACTCGCCATGGGGCTCTGGAGAAATGCGCTGCTCTGGTGCCTTTCTCCCCTCCTTTCCTCACCAACCAGTTCCTTCGCTTTTCTCTCACCTCCCCCTCCTCCAACAGAAAAACTTCCCAACACAAAAGATGGAGACAGAAAGAGAAAACAAGGGAGACAAAAAAAGAGGAAGTGGCGCAGTAGGTTCCCCTGTTAAATACATTGATTGCGGAGGTGCTGATTGGCCTGGCCTTGCCCAGAGGCAGGCCCAACTTTTTTTACCTGGGGCTGGGGGAGGCTCTGGAAGTTTCTCAAGAATCATCCTGCACAGCCCTCCCCCCACTACCGAAAGAAACCCCACCAGACTCATACCCATGACACTGTGCTAAAGTTGTGTGCTTCCATGTTGCAGAATTGCTCTGTCCTCTTCTATCACTCTTCTTGTTCTTCCTTCAGGCAGACATTTGGTCTCTTGGAATTACAGCCATTGAACTAGCAAAGGGAGAGCCTCCAAATTCTGACTTGCATCCTATGAGGGTTCTCTTCCTGATCCCCAAAAATAACCCTCCAACACTTGAGGGTCACCACAGCAAGCCTTTCAAGGAGTTTGTGGAAGCCTGTCTCAATAAGGATCCTAGATTTGTGAGTATTGCACACCATCTGTAAATTTTGGTAGAGTATTGCAGAGATCAAAGATTTAAAAAAAAATTTGGTGCAAGGCTTCTGGAGAGAAAGAAGTACTGAGCTTGCAGAATGAACAGGAAAGGCTGGCAAGAATTCAAGTCAGTGCACTTGCATATTTAGTGTACAGAGATGGTTAGATGTACCATGCTTTCCTTATTTGCTCTAGAGGCCGACAGCTAAAGAGTTGCTAAAGCACAAGTTCATCACTCGTTACACCAAGAAAACCTCATTCCTAATGGAGCTGATAGATCGATTCAAGCGCTGGAAGTCAGAGGGCCATGGAGAAGATTCCAGTTCTGGCGATTCTGATATGTATGTACATGTTCTGCATGGAGGTGTGCCCCTGCTATACCCTGCGTGCACCTGGGTAGCCTGCTGCAAACAGCTCAGATCCTTTTCCTGACCTGGGTTGGAGATCTTACGGTAGCTCAGGGAGACCTGTGAGCATCTGTGTGGGGGAGGAGGAGACTGCTGCCTGAAGGAACAGGCTGTTTCCTCTTGTTCAGTAGGACCTGGTAGCTTATTCTAGTCTAAACCTGTGGACCCTTTTTGCTGACTGTAAGGAATCAGAAGTACTAACAAGAAACACCTAGTCTATGCATAACTAGCAAAACAAGGCTTTTGTCGCCTATATTTTATGCATATTCAGTGAAATACGGGAGCCACAAGCTTTAGTAACTGTGGCAACAGCTGTATGTGTGCATTTGTGGGTAGAGCGCTTTGCTACTTACGTGGAGGATAATGAAGCTTATGAGCCTTGGGTGAGGAGCCCCTTGTTGCCCCGTGTTACAGAGCTTCTCTTCACCAGTAGTGGCAGCAACTCAAGTGATCAGTGACTTGCAACATCTAAGCTTGACCCCTCAAATTGTGAACTTGCATTGTCTTGCAGTTCTTTAACTGGCACTTGAAACTGTTGTCAGGCTGACTAGAGCAGAAAGGTTGTTGTGGTGATTTGAGAACATGATGTAGTACAGCTCTGTGGTGCTGTAATTGGGCTGTAGAGACTGAAGCAGTTTGTCTTTAGAATTTTCTCTGTAATAGGGAAACACCTGGATGACAACCATCGAGGAGAGCTTGTGACTGTGGGGATGCATGGTTAAAACACCTCATGTATGGAGCTGAGGCTTTGTCTTGACCTCCCTCTTTTCATTTGCAGTGATGGAGACACAGAGGATGGAGACCAGGCTCCAATCTGGACGTTCCCACCAACTATTCGCCCCAACTCCTTGAGCAAGCTGCACAAAGGAATGGCTCTTCATGGTTCCCAGAAGGTCTGTTTGCTTTCTGTTCTTTTGGAGGTGGACTGAATTAACACAAGCTTTTGAGCATCTTAGGGAAGTTAGCAGTCACTTATGTTCTGTCTGAAGTTTACTTCAGTCTGTTACCAAGGGCTAGTGCCCCAGAGCTGCCTCTTCCGTGTCACATGGCTACTGCAGTCTGTGGCTTTTGTGAGACGTGGTGAGGGGACTGCCATCGAAGTGCTGTGTATTTACCAAAGACTTAGTAGTTTGTGTGCCCTTGGAGCTTTTGCCTGTGCTTGTAACTTCTTTTCATGTTGCTTTCTAGCCTACTGAGCCCATCAAGAGGCAGCCACGATCACAATGTCTGTCCACACTTGTTCACCCAGTTTTTGGGGAGGTGAGTAGAACCCTCTTGCTGTCTGTGGTGGTTGGAGATGAAGAAATGCCTGACATGGATAAGTAAATGGGAAGGATTTGGAGAAGGGACATGCAATGAGGTACCTAATAGGGTTAAGGGACTATGAAGCATTTGTGCCTCTGTTCAGAGGTATATATTGTATGTTATGAAAGTAAATATGTCTCTGCAGTGTCTACTCTAATATGCTTGTGTTCCTAGAAGCATAGCTCTACTGTGTTGTCTTCTGGTGATGATAATGCAGAGGAGTACCTGTTCCTTATCTGCGTCTTAGGCTTGCTAATGCCTAAGATCTGGACTCTGATGTCCCTGGCCTCCATGGCTCAAGTGCACTGCCTTTTAGGGCAGGAAAGTATTTCACCTTGCCTATCGCTGTGCGTGTTCCCTGCCCTCGTGCTGTGTGCTGCTGTCTACAGCAGGGTCACTGAGGGAAGTGTGGGTGGATTAGAGCAGGAGTTGGCTTTGCCAATTACTAGGCCATCTTCTTGGTTTATACATGCTTGCTAGGAGACTGAAGCTAGGATGCTGATGTCAGGGAGTTACCTACCATATGGCCTGTGGAAGGTAAACAGAGAAAATGCGTTTGGTAAACCCTCTTTTTCCCTGCCTTTTGTTCTGAGTAAGGATGTGGTGTTGCAGTAAAAGCTACCGTTACTGGCGGGATAGTCTTTGTATCAGCAGAAGGTTGAATTGTCATTTCAGTTGAGTGACATTTTAAAGGAGGAGGACAATAATCATAAATGGGTTTCTGGCTATGGGCTTCAGCTGCTGTTTCCATCAGGAGTGTAGGAAAAGAGGTTTTGCTTTGGCAGAAATTGCTTATCTAGACGTTGCAAGTCAGATGTCTTTTCTTGGTGTGCTAGGTCACAGAGACCTTCTCTCTAGTCCTGGTGTCTGAATCTTCTGGATCCTGATGCTGTTCCAGGAGCAGCCCATCAGAGAGCTGTGCTTTTTCAGGGATAGTCACTGAACTTAAATCTCTTTTCTCAGGTTGTCAAAGTTTAAGGCTGGGCCAGCCACTAAACTTTGACAGATGCTCTCTGTGATCCCACCACCACTGTCCCAAGGGAGGGTGACAGGAAAACCAGGGAGAGAAGCTTGGAGGTTGAAAAAAAATATACTTACAATACTAATACTAACAATAACAAAGAAGATGTCAAACTACATACAAATATATAAAAGTATGCAAATATGGTCAAAGATACAAGAGAATATGTTAATACATGACCCACAGCTTCCAACTGACAAGGTCCCAAGCAGAATAAAATAGCCCCAGACTGGTTTTGGCAGCAGGTGGGAGCACCCAAGCACAGAGCCCTGATAATAGTTAAAAAAACCCAGAAAAGAAGCTGTGCTGCTCCTACCCAGGATGGGGGCGGGGGGGAAGACAACTTGTCTTATCAAGCAGTGCTCCTCTTCAGCGTGACAACAGGAGGCAGGAACACCAGCAGCACAGGGAGAGATGGCAGACAGTTACAATCTTTCCAGCACAACAGACACAAAAGCCTGAGGGCTCTTCTTGGGGGCTGTTACATACTGGGTGCCTGTGGGAAGGAACACTGTGATTGGTCCATCCACTGAGAGGATCCATCCTCTCCTCCCCATAGGCACAGCTGCCCCTCTTCCCTGCTGTGACTGCCCCCTGCCCCAGGAGCCCCAGAGAACTTTTGTCCTGGTGTTCTCAAACCAGGAGTTTTTCTCAGGTCTAGTGCTATGTGGAAAAAGGGCTTGCTGCAGGGCAGGAAGCAGATGTCATTCTGAAAAGCAGGCTCTTGAAACAGCACCACTTTGGAAACTGGGAGTTTAGCTATCTGGCCTCTTCTGTACTCCGTTGGGCTTGACTTCCAGAGGTTAGAGGATGAGGCAGATGGTCTGGGTCTTGTAGGCTTAGACCTATGAGATAAAAACAGATAAAAATAGTGATGGTTTCTGGTGCAGGCCATTTGTTTGTGCAGTGTAATCACTGACATCTGGTTCTCAGTCCTTTCTGTTTAGGAGCCATCTAGGGGAGGGGCTGCTCAGACCTGTGAGTTCTGCAAACCAGTGAGTGCATCTTCGTGCTTCCCCTTACCAACTTTGCTGCACCAGTTCCAGGCAGGAAGTGGCTTCTTGGACCTTTAATTTCTGCTAGTTTGACTCCCTTGACCCAGGTCCTTTGATTAGTCTTCCTTGCCAGCTCTGCTGATCCCAGTCAGTGAAATCAGGTGCAGGAAAGGTTCTGGGCACCCTCTGAAATAACCTGGCTTCTGTGCAGTAGCAGAGGGTCAGAATAAAACTTTCCTCCAAGTGTCCATCTAGGAAATCTGCTTTGCTGCTGGTTGCACATATTATTCTTTTCAATTATAGTTTCCTACCAACAGACTTTCTCCTTCTCACCATTGTATTATTGCCTCTTAGACCTGCTAGGTTTTAAATAGCCCTTTTATGGAAAGAGATCATGCTGTTCATAATCTTTTATGTGCCTTCCCTGCATATGTATTATTGGGTATTAATACTGAAAATGACGCGTGGTGGGCCATTAATGCAGACATGGACAACTGCAAATCTGGAAGCCTTCCTTTCTGGGCCAGGGAGGAAGGCTAAGGTATTTGGGCCTGGCAGGCCGAGCAGTGAGTAAAAGCTAACCTGTAATACTTTACACAGAACAGTTCTCTAACTCCCTGCTAACCTCCAGAAAGCTCTTCTGCAGTGGAAAGTGGCAGGATAACTGCTCACATCACAGGCTGCTGAGCAAACTAAGGGTCAGTGGCTTGACATCACAGGCTTGATGATAAACTGGCAGTTTGCCTGCAGGACAAACCCTGTGTCTCGTTTTGCTCTGAGGTGGTCAGTCTTTGATCAGGAAGATGTCAAATCAAATCCTTGGCTTTAGCATTACAACTATTTTTGGCCTAAGAAGTCTGTGTCCTTGATGTGTTATTGTGTTGCCCTTCATGCCCCCTGCCACTTCTGAATGAGCAGAGGTGTGTGCGAGTTGCTCCCACAGCCGAATGGGAGTGTTAGCGTGTTATTGAGCAATTACCCCATTGAAGTTGCAGACTCTCTTTGTCATTGTTTCCAGTGGGGAACTTGGAGCACAGGGCCAGCAGCAGCTGGGCATTAGCATTCACACTGACCTGCTTTCTGGAGCATGGAGAAAAGGTGAGCTCCAACAAGAAGAAAGGCTGATTCTAGAATTGCAGGCAGAGAACTGTGAGGCTTATGTAGAGCCCTTTAATCAGCGTAGCCTAATGGGAGCTTAACTGAACTGGACAGTGGTTATGGCAGATACTCTTCATTCAACAAAAGGTTTTGATTTTTGTTCAGTTTGTTGTGTCATGATGTGCCCTAAGGAAGGGGCTGCTGCATGTGCTGCTTGTGTGAAGGAGGATGTGACTGGGTTTTCCAGTGACGAGTCCTTCAGGCTCAGCATCAGTGACCTGTCAGAAGTTCCTTAATGACAGAGATTTGGCTACTTCAAATTAACTGAAACCATGTACAAGTAGACTTGTGGTTGGTGAGGCCTAGTTGGAGTGCGCTAACCATGACAGGTGTGAACTGAGGCTTTTCATCTAGGTCAGATGCTGTACGTAGAGTTCTTGGTGCCTGGGCTTTGTTCCCTTATCTGCCTGGGGAAAGCTCTCTCTTGGAGAGGGGTGTTGGAGGACAAGTGGTTCAGAATCTATTGTAGCAGTAGTCTGCCTCTGCCCCCTGGTCACTAGTAGCAGCTCAAACACTTTTGTGGTTATTAACAGAAGTGGTGACTAACTCCTGGTGTTATATTTTCTACCCTACCTGTCTGCAAGCCATTTTTTGCATCTGGGTGCTAAGCTGTCATTAGCAGCAAAGTTGGCAGCACTGGTTCAGATATAGCTGGAGTTCTTTGACCTGTTACTACTTACAGATTTTCAGGGCTGTTGATCCATTTCTGATATCGTTCAGTTCATTTAAGAGTACATCAGGACATGTTTGTTGAGGACTTCTATTGCTGTTAGTACTTAGAGGAATGCATGAACTCCGGACATTATACAGCCATCTTCCTGACCCACAGAAAGAGACCTTTTTCTTTTTTTTTAACAATGTGGGTGCTCTGTTGCACCCTTGTGGAGTCATACTAAAAGGGAAAAGGACTTAATGTCTGTCCTGCACTGTCTGATTGCACTGCTTATTTCTGCAATGAGATATGGAACTAATGAACTGTTTCTGCTTCATTGTTTTAGCTTAAAGATAAGCACAAGCAGACTGGAGGCAATGTGGGAGCTATGGAGGAGCTGGAGAATGCCTTTAGCTTGGCTGAGGAGTCCTGCCCAGGAATCTCTGACAAACTGATAGCACACATGGTGGAGCGGGTACAAAGGTGAGTGTTCTATAGAGTATAAGCTGGGGTGGAGCTGGCAGTGAGCTGAACTGTTGTCATACTCCATAGCTATGGTGAAGGTTAGTGCTGAGTATTCAAGACATGCAAAAACTGAGTACTGATGACAGCCGACTTAATAGTCGCTAAGTCACTTCTTGTAACTGCTTTTTATTTAATGGAAGCAGTTCTTCCAGCCTCAGAAGTTCTTTCTCACACTGAACAGGGTTTTGTAGTGTAGATGAATGTTGCAGAGCATGGAAAGATGCTGATATTCACCTTCATCTTGCTTGTATTATATATGACATCGTGCTGGTCCCACTGCCCGGGTAGTGAGGACTGTGCAAAATGTCATTGGGATCACTCCTGGAATAGTAGCTGTTTCATCACAAAGGAGTATGTTTTACAGCACCACATGCAGCCAGTCACTCTTCTTGCCCAGCTTTATCTTTTTCCTGAAGTGAATAATATATTCAGTGAGGGAGTATAGTCTGGTTGAATTAAGTTCTTTGCTGCTCAGCAGGTGCATCAAACTTGCCTTCACTGCTGGCACCAACTTCAGTCAGATCCGTGTGTTATAAGCAACAGTGTCAGGTCCTGATCACAAGTTTATCAGGCGTTATTTAACAATAATTTGACTTTTCTCCCTTTTACAGCAGGCTATTCTAAATCTCTCTATTTCCTCACCAGCCAAGGAACTTAGCCTCTGACCCCTCACTGGTTTGCAGGCTGGAAGTTAAGTCACCAGAGGATCCATTCTGTGTTCTGGTTCCTGATGTAAATACAATCCAAGCTTTACAGTCTTAAGACCCCTGAACTTGGGCTTTCTAAGCATTGATTTCTGGTGGGTTTAGGCTGGCATAGTTTGTGCCTGGTAGGTCAAGTACCTGTAGGATCAATATCCTACAAGCAAAGAAGAGCCTTAGAAATTAAGGACTGAAAATAATTACCATCCTTGAGGGCTTCTGTTACGAAGTCATTCAAGCTTTCAAACAAACATGCTATGGAGGCTGTTTAGATCCCTTAATAATCACTTAAAGCTGGAAGGAGAACACTCTTTTCTATTCTGGCTGATCTGTAGAGGTCACAGGAAGTGTCCTGGGGATGCCTGCAAAAACTTTAGCCTCTAGCTGAGCAGAAGATGCTCACAGATGTGTGTTGGTTGACTCTGCAGAGCAGCTGTTTCAGTATCATTCACTTCTGTCAGCCTAGAAGTAACGCTACTGGATGGTGCATAAGCACAAGACAGATGTTTTTCAAGGTTTACAAAACCTCAGAGACTGTGGTTGGTTTCTTACTGTGAAATGCTAGTGCTAAAAATTTCCCTTTAGCCTAAAATTGAATATTAGAAACCTGAAAGAAGTGCCACCTTGGCTTTTTGTTAAATTGCTGGGTTGTTTTTTTTCTTTCAAAACTTCTTTATCTAGAAAACTGACAATGGCAATGGGAGTGGGTATAGTCACATCCAGCCTTACCTCTTCATCCATAGACACAGTGGCTGGCACAGTTTGTCTGGACCGTCTTCCAGGTGAGGGCGTGAAATGGACAGTAGTGAAAAGTTCCACCCATTATTCTTTCTTGCAGGTTTTCCCACAGTCGGAACCACCTGACCTCTGCCCGCTGACACCTACATTCCCTGCTTGCTCTTTCAAGGGGGAAGGATTTTTTCCAGCTTGATAAGAGCTACATCTCTACTACAGATCACCATCTGCTGTTGGATGTACATTTGTGTTACGGACTCCAGGACATTTCAGAGCCTTCATGTTACACGTTTCCATGATAACCCAGGGTGGGGTTTGCAATGCAAGTACAATTCAGACCTTTTGCAGATGGTCTAATAGTTTTTACAATGTAATCAATGCAGTTTTTAATTGTTTCCCTATGGGTGTATCCATTTTGGCTTGGTTTGACTCACAGCTTGTTACTGGTAAATGCGTGGCTGCTGGAAAAGAGGGAGATTCTCTTCTATTAAGATAGGTTTCAGAGACAAGTCTGATGGGTTTAGCCTTCTGCCCTTCCTAAAGAAGTGTTCGTGAGCAGTAATGTGTGAGTACAGGTATGTTTGGAAGCTCTCCATACATTACGGCCTCTGGGAAAGTTAGAACAGCTCTCCAATTGTTCCTGGAGAATTGCTTCCATTTTTTCACACAGTAGTAACAAAAAGCTTTCAAGTATAGCAGCAGCTGAGCTAATTAATATGCTGCTGTTCTTTCCCAGCTTGTTGTTTCACAGGGGGACGGGTTTGCTGACTGTAATTTTTTTGGCTGTGGAATGTAATTTTGTATTAGGCCTTGGTTCGTGTAATTCAAGCAACTTGCCTTGGGTCTCCAGGGACTAGAAGGCAGTGTGCTTCCATTTGGGTTGGGAGCTGGTGGAGTTCCTTTCCTTGGTGCTTTCTGCAACTGAAGAAATAAGATCTGCAGGTTTGGCTGTCCTAGTCTCTAAGCTGAGCAGACACCTGCCAAGTGTGCACAAATGTTGCTTAAGGATTAAAAAAGTGGGGCGGGAGGGGGAACACAACAGCCAAAAGCACTGATAGGGCTTCAGGTCAAAAAGCAGGTGGATACTGTGTAGCCCTTCGCAAGAAAAGGGTCCTCTGCAGAAAGGTGTAAATTGAGTGGCTAACAGTGATGGTATCAGTGTGGTGTGGCTGAACATTTTGCAAAAGCTGCTCTAGGCCTCTTCTCAGCTTTTCCTTGCTGGCTTTTTGAGTCTAGGATCTAAACTCACCGAAGCCAGAGCTCTGTTCCAACTGACAAGCTGCCGTGGTGTTTGCTAGCACAGAAATTAAAGCATCTACTGATATATTGGCTGCTTAAGGGGTATTCCAGTGGAGCTAACCACAACCAGCTCTGCTTTCTATATAATACTAGCTTATAAAGCAAATCTTTAATTCAGGTAAATGCACAGATCTTAAATCTATACTTTAAAGGTCTAGAAATATACTTAGGAAAATAACTTCTGATAGCTTGTTGCTTAGAGGCCTGATCTCTAATCGTAAAGATTAAGTTAGCAAGAACTTGGACATCCAGATCTTTCTGTCTGGATGCCTGTGTGTGAATGATGTGGCTCACCCCAAAGCCACTGAGAACAAAAGCCGTAGCTGTTCAGCATTTTTTTAAAAAGAAAGGCCACTTCTTTAGTAATAAGGCTTGATTTTTGGTACTTTTATTCAGACCTGCAGATTGTAAATGCTGGGCTAAAAGTAGCTCAAAAGGACCATACACTCCCTTGTTCTGGTGTGGAGTGTTCACTTTAGCTTATGACTATCATTTAATCTTCCTCTGTGATGGCCAAATACAGGCTCAGCAAACACTATGAACTTGTCTGGTGGAAAAGAAGAGGTGGTGCTGTTTGATCTTGCTGGAGATCTACCGCAGATCTGCTGTAGAGTGATGTTTCTCTGTGGTAAGAGTCATGGAGCCTGCATTTATGAAGAACAGGACAAACCCATTTTTTTCTTCAGAGAAGGAGTTAGTTAACATATAGACATGAAACTTACTGAGGTGGAAGGCAGAGGCTGCAGTCCAGCAGAAAGGCATCTGAAGCCTCCTGCTGCTTTTAAAGTTGCTGTTCACGACAGTAGCAAAATTGTGTCAGTAAGGTAACTTGAATTATTACTCAGATGCACTGCAGTGTACTGAGTAAACTTTTTAAAGGAAACAATCCCCACAAACTTTGTCCAGTATTCAAAGCAACAATGGTTTTAGGTTTTAAAAATGTTGAAAGGGATCTGCCACTTTCAATAAAGTAACAGAACAAATGAGGCTGGTGTAACTTTGTATTATTAGGGGAAAAGTATTTCTTTTAAGACGCTTTTCTTTGTATTCTTCTTGGTCTTCCTCTGCATCTTCCTCTCTCATGTGACCTGTGAGAAAGACCTGTTCACATACTTTTTGTGCAAGGAGGGATACAGTAAAAGACATGTTACAGTCATCCATTCTGCTGATACACAATGATGTTAAGGGAAGCACATACTGTTTGCAAAGCATAGCTGTGCTCTGGAGAGTGCTTTGGTGCAGTTTTTGCTGGAGTGTTTGTTGAGCTGCAATATTTAGATTCAGGTTAGACTGTAAAAGCTGACAACAAGGTATCTTTGCCTTCTCTCTCCCTTGGCAGTTGTGTCACTGAGCAGTGGCACAGGCTGCCCAGAGATACTGTGGTCTCCATCCTTGGAAATAATCAGAAGTTGTTCAGACACCGTCCTGGGCAGCCACCCTTCCTTAAGCAGGGGCCTGGACCAGATGACCTGCCAACCACAACTACAATGTGAGCATGTAATCTCAGTTATAGGATTAACAGTTTGGAGACACCGCTTTAAGCATTGTGTATAACTGTCCTTCCCTAAGCAGAAACACAAAGGTGAAGGTTATAGTTGGTTCTGTCATCAAGCTGTGCAGTAGTCTCAGCTATTTTCTCTTTGGAGTCAAAAAGAGGGACTAACAAATGAACTTCTTGCTCTGCTTTTCTGGGAATTTTGTAAAACACCATGTGCTTGCGCTCATGACAGTGGTGATGTCTCATCTGCAGCGGGCGTGTGGAAGAGGTGTTTTAGCACAGCACTTTGGGGACAAGCCAGAAAAGAAGCATTCAGAGCTATGCAGATGGGTGCAGCTTGTATTTTACATGAGTGACTCAAAGTCTGCCTTATAAAATAAAAGCTCTTAAAATTAATGTTCACCTAACTGTCAGATGCTCTAAACATTCACTACGGAGTATATAAGTTCACTCCATGCCAGCAGTGCTCCACTTGCACCTGAGCAGTATGAGTGCAGCTGGATGCTGAATACCTCGTGTACATGCACAGTGCCAAACACTGCAGCAGAAATAAAGCAGTGGTGATGTAGCTACCAAAAAAGAGGGAGGATGAATTATCTGGTGTAATGAGAGCGACTTCTGCCTGGGGAGATAAAGGGAGCAGTCACCAGAACAGTTCCACTAAGTTGCATTAAACAGGTCGTAGGAACTACTGCAAAAACTTGCTTGTTTTGGTTTCATCAGCAATGAAGCTGGACTCTTACACTGAGTGAAGGACAACCAGCCAGTGCTCCAGGAAGCAGGGAAAAGTGGTAGTTTACCAGAAATTATAGCTTTTTGAAATTAAATAAGACCATGGATATTAAGCCATGAGGTCTCAAGAGCATGGGTTCATCTCTCCTTTAACATATATCCTGGTGGCAAGAAACTAATGATTAAGGATTGACTATATTATGTTCTTCCCTAGTGCTTATTAAGGAAATTGCTCATGATTGCAGGAAAGACAAAAAATACTCCTGCAGAGCTCTGGTGAAGTTAAAATACTAAACTGTAGTTCACAGAAGAACTGATATACCAATTAAATCCTCATCAGTTTGAAAGCTTAAGCTTGCTGAGGTAAGCAGTTTTGCCAGAAATAACAAAGTTTTTGGCTTTTCTAGCCTCTGCTCCTGCATTTTAAATGCAGAGACAATTGAGCTTGGTATTCTCCACCCAAGAAGGGATTTCTACTGCCTGCTGTCCTTCTCAGTTTCTGGTCAGCTAACACCAGAGGTTCCTGTTTCACAGACAATGCCTCAGCCACTGTAGATAGCACACACATCTTCAAGACAAGAAATACTGAGCTGCAGGTTAAATAGATAAGAAACTCGAGGATCATCCACTCCTTGCCTGCCCAAAAATCTTAAGGAAGGACTTGCTTACTGCATCTCTTCTGTAACAGAAGTTGTAACAGTACTACTCTGCTACTCAGAGGTGATGGGAAGAGCATGCTCAACAGAGCATGGGTAATCAGTCTGTGGATTGGCCATGTAAGTACCTACCAGTTGTGCACTATCACCTTTAGGATGTGTCCTTCCACTATGTTCTTGGATAATTTTTCTGTATGTCAGAAGTTGTTTCTTTTGTGTTACAGGCTAAAGCAGTGTTCCCTGTGACATGAGATGGAAAAACACAGGAAGGGGTGGGAGGAAGACACTCCACTGGAGCCTGCACAGGAGCGTATAAAAGCCAAACCTCCATGCTCCTTGCTGAGGGAGAGGCTGGTTTGTACAGTTCCTTCTATCTTCTCTAACACCAGGTAGGGCAGCCTGATCTTTAATGCATGGTGCTAGGGAGATTTGACTTACAGAGGTAGTTTAAAAGAAGTCTAGCTGATGTTAAAAGAGTAAGTAAGTTATCTCTGTCAGCTAGTTAAACATACTGTATCCTCTCTTGCACTGTGCTCAGGAACAAACGTTTCTCCTGCTCTTCTATCCTCACCTCTTCTGGCAATTAGCCAGGTCAGCTTTCATAACACACATGCCAGAGCATGTGCACTGCTGCTCAACAAACAGCTTGCTTTTGGGGACCCCAGGGCCTCTGCCCCAGGCCTGTGACATAACTGCACAGTCCCCAGCCTATATCACAGAAAGTACTTGTTCCCCATGCAAGACTGTGCATTTATCCCTGCTGAATTTCAAGTGGTGTCCCTTCCTCCTGCCCTGGAGCTGCTCTCCCAGCTTGGTGGCACTCACAGGCTCCATAAAGTGGCTCCATCACCTCTTCCACATCATTCTTGCAGTGCAGAGCTTGATACTGGGTGATCCAAGAATCACAGTCTTGGAAAACTATTCAGTAATCTGAACACTAAAAAAAATAATTTCAAATCCTGGTGCTAGGAAGTCCTGCTACAGCAGGTGAATGCAACTAAAGGTTGAGGTTAAGTGCTGAGACCCACACCTGGTGACAGCAACCCTGCTCCTCCTCTCTGAAACTTGCTCCTGTAGAGCTTTCCCACAAAGAGACCAGCAAAGGGCAGTAATTACATGGAAAAGTTCTCGTGAAAGAGGAAAACTATCTTGCTAAGCAACTCCGGTATGTGACCATGACAGAGGAACAGTATCACCCAGGAAAACCACTGAATGCAAAGATCCACTAATCAACAGCGTGAAACCTCTTATCTGAGGTCTGAGGAAAAGCAACGCTT